GAAGGGAGTAGAGGCAGTATCTAGAAGACCACAGGCTCAACTACTGCCCCTGAATAGCTATGAGGCCTCTAGCAAGATGCTCTATTTCCCTGAGCCTCAACTTGCTCATCAGTTAAATGGGCACTCACCTGTCCAGCAGAGATGTTGGAAAGATTAACGAGATGGTGTGTGAAACAATCTATCTGATGGCAGTAAGTTCTCAACAAATGTTAGCTAACATCACCATCACCATGGCCTCTGGGAATATTCACTGAATTAATAGCTGAGGATGAAAAAGGAGTTCCAGAGCTGGCCTCTCGGAGGAAGGGCGGCTCCCTGCCTGGGCCCCCGGCACCGTTCTTCACAGAGGAATGGGGTGGAAAATAGCAACAGCAAAGCCACATAGAGACGGGCCCTTCAGTGCTAATGACAACCCTCTGAGCCTCTGGGCCACATTGCAGGCACTGTCATTAAGCCAGGCTGGGATGGCAAAACCAGGTTGCTAGCCCTGAACCCATGTTTCCAGTGCCAATTCTCAATGAGATCGTCAGGCCGCCTCCTCCTCCACCGTTACTGGGCCCAGAGGCAAGGCCACCGGCTTCCTTCCCTGCTCTGCTTCATTCAATCCGTAGTCCATTTTCCCAGAATCTCACCCACACGGCCCTGGAGAGAGTAGGGCTGGGACATGGCGGGCTGTCCCCACAGCCAGAGGGAAAAGCAGCTCACTGCACAGATGCCACTGATATGCCCAGTTGGAGTCCTGAGCAGGGGCGGGGGGAGTAGTCCCTTCCCAAGTAAAAGCCAAGAAGACACTGGGCCCCAGTCTCTCCTCCCTTCCAGGTGGGCCCAGAACGACCACGTCTGCCCTTACCTCGCTCTGGGGCAGACTGGTGCCTGTAAATCAACCCTGGAAACAGCTCCTGGGGCAGATCTCCGCTCTGCCACCTTCAGTGAAGGACTTCCTTGGCCTTCATTTCCTCACCTTTAAAATGGAAATAATGATATCTATTCTCCCTGAATCTCCAGATTGCTATGAGGACTAAACTGAGATAATATATAACCTCCCAGAACACAGAAAATGTTTGTTGAGTGAATGAACAATTGACCAGATGGTACCATTCCACTTTCAAAATGCTTTGACTTTGGGGCTGCAGGGACACCGTGGTGACCTGCGGCATTCAGTGGCCAGAGTAGGGCACTGGGAGTAACCACGGAGGCCACAGAAATGGTGCCTGGCCCGTGTCCACACCCAGCTCACCCAGCACCTTCCCGGCATGAGGATGATCACAGATTCTAACTTCAGGGAGGGCGCCAGCAAGAGCCCAAATTAAAAAGCATAACTACCCCTATCACAAAGACCATAACTGGTCAGATGCATCACCTCTTGATAAGGATGAAAATGAAAATGGCAAGAAATACGCACAGCCAGCCACGGAGCCACATGGCACGATCCTGCAGTCTCAGAACCCGCGAGGTCTCGCGCTCTCCCACGCAGCCCTAGAAACAGCCAACCGCAAGCCCAGACTCACACACACACCACAGCCACAGTCTCACACCCCTGAAGCTAGGCATACAGTCATACCTACGGTCACCGAACAGCCATCACTCAACCTCACCCACAGTTTCCCTCCACTCCCACTCACAGCCATCCCCACTGCCTGCACAGCTAAGCACACCCAGAGCCTGCCACACCCACCCCACTCACACCCCATGCCTCGCACGCAGCAGGCCCAGCTTCTCTCGCAAAGCTCACCGTTCATTAGTCATTTGCTTAAAACATCCCAGTGAAAGCCCAGTAACTAGGCTGAGGCTGTTCCCAGGGCCTCTGCCCACAAGGGTGTTTTGTTTCTGCTTCTTTGCTTACAAAGGTGTACTTTCTTTAGTCCAAAGTAGTGTCCGTGGTGTGACAGCAGCTTGTGGACACCCTCTCCCTAGACCATTGTCCCTGCCCTCGAAGGAGGTCTAGGCAGCTGCGGGGACCTCAAGAATCAGTGGGTGGGTGTTAGAGACATTTGAAACAGTGGTGGGGAGACAACCTCTGCCTTGGTCTGGCCCTGCCTCAGCCATTGGTCCTATAAGAGAATAACAGCCTTGAAGAAGGAGGAAAGGGCCAGAGGGAAGGAGAGGAGAGGAACCCTAGAGCAGAGCAGGAGGGCTCTAGGTCAAAGGCACTGCACCTGGCTGCAGTGGGGCTCCAGGGGCATACTCAGGGGGAGGTGGGGCCCCCGGCCTGGCACACTGGGCAGACAAAAGGAGGGAATGGGAAAGAGCAATCGGAAGAAAAGGGAGTGAGTGAGGCAGAAGGCACGGAGAAGCCAGAGACCACAGGGGCACAGGAAGTTCACGACCCTACTGGGGAATACCCAGCACTGGGACGGGGAGTGTGTGCCTGTCCCACTGCACTTCTCAGAACGGTTATTGCCATCCACCATGGCCCCGGGCACTCAGACCCCACAGGCACAGAGCGCCACACAGGAACTGCATCTGCCCGCTTCCCAGCCCGGTGAGCCTGAGTTCCAGACCCTCCCGGGGCTGCTGCAGAACCTATGGACAACCCTGTGAAGCTCAGGCCAGGAGGGGCCCCAGGGGTGCTCCATATCCCAATAGCAGAGGCGCCCTGGTGATTCTCCAGCTCCCCCTCCTAGAAGTTACCCAGGAAAACGCCAGGGCCAGGGGTTGGTTGGCCAGGAGCTGGGTTGAGGTCCTGGAGCCACCAGCCGCTGGGCCTCACCCACCACAAAAGAGGGGCAGGTCTGTCTAAATGAAATGCTCTTGTTTGCCCCTATTAATTTTTATACCGTCTCAAAACCATGATTAATAAATCCACCCTGCAGGATGAAAACCTGCCCGAGCAGTAGCTTTCTTAAATAGGTGAAGAATGGAAAAAGACAGAGGCCGGAGGTTGCCTCCTGCTGCCAGCTGGCTAAGACGTGCCCCTCCAGCTGCCTGGGGCCTCCCTCAGTTTCCCCACTGTCATTAATGGAGTTGGATAATCCGTAAGATTCCCCCCTGCTCAAATGTCCTAAGATTTTTCTGGAAAGACTGCATGATCCAAGCAAGCAAGCAGCCCCGTTGGCCCTGTAGGGTTTCAGACGAAGGCAGGGCCTCAGGGCTGCCGTCTTTGCAGAACAAGTGGACCAGCCATGGCACCTGGGCTCAAGTACCCAGGGTGCCTGTCCCAACAGCGTCACCTCGGGCGAGCTCTGAACCTTTCTGGGCTTCAGATTCCAAACCCTGGAAAATGAAGAATGAACTGTTTCCCAGAAAAGCATGATACAAGGGCTGCAGGACAGCACCACTTCATGGGTGTCTCAGGTCACACCTGCAGTTCGACTCTGGTTACTACCAATCCCCCCACACCACCTACCACCAGTTACAACCCCCACAGCAAAGGACAATTAGCACATCCTGCCCTGTTTGTTTTTCTTCCTACCCCAAGGTATTAGCCTCCCCCGGATTCCAGGCATCTCTGTCAGTCCATGGAGTTGGGCACAGAGGTCAGGTGGGCTGCAGCCCCCTGGGTTTTACATCTCCTTCCAGGGATGGGGGCTTACCTGGCACTTTCAAATGATGATAGATGCAGCCTTGGTGAAACATAATTACTCTTGAGTCTAGAAGGGTAAACAAATGTGTAATTCGTGGATTTGCTAATTGTCCTTCATTCTGATCTCCTGCCATTGTCCCTAGACTCTCTGACAGCGCGCTTGTCAGGATTCAGAGAGGGCCAGGAGTGAGCCATGAGGCGAACGAACCGAAGCTGGACACCTGCACTCGCCCTCCTCCCGGCCGCCGCTCCAGCGCCCTCCTCCAGAAAACACACAAGGCGGGAAGCCTGCAACACTCAATCTTTTATTTTCTTAAACTGTACACAAATGTAAAATACTTTAACAGCAAGTCTATGGGAAAATCGTTTGGCTTTAAATTATTATGAAACAGAACCTAAAGGGAGCTTTATTAAATAAACACAAACATGGGGATTGAAGGACACACACCTGCATTCTACCAGTCATTTTTACTCTGCCTTCTGGGTGTGTGAGAATAGAAAAGACTCATCAAACTGAATAAAGAAAATCCATTTATACCCTGAAACACTGGCAGGCCACTCAAGGGATTGTTCAGAGCGTCTACCTCATATAAGATGGCCTCACCATCTAATACAAATTAAAACTGATCTGTTGGCCTCTTTGGTTCCAAAATTATGTATAATACATTTAACTGTATTTTTTTTGCTGCTATAAAAATAACTTCTTTTTTCAAATGGCAGTTTCTGACTAATCATGCAACTAAATCAGTGCAAACATTAAAAGCAATCATTCGCTTTAAAAAGAAGCAAAGGATTTCACTTCAAGTATAAAAATATAAAAAGAGTCGTACAAGTCCAGTTTTGTCTAGTGTGGGTCAACCCTTTAAATTGCATAGTTCACATGGCACTTGGACACCTCAGGGTGAGCAAGTTCAATGCTCTGCCAGTGGCCACTTCTGACACACGCAGATGGGCAAGTGCTATATCATGTGCGTTCGGGCAGGTCTACAAGTGCTAGGAGGGGCGGGCAGGCAGGCAGGCGAGCAGATGGGGGGCCAGGTCCATGGCCAGCCCTGGGGGCCAGAGCCCACACACCCTGGCAACTTCTGCAAAGCAGCCCAAAGCCTTCCCATCTCCAAAAGCAGCTAAACTGCTCCCCCCTCTTGCCCCCCTACTAAAGGGGCATCCTGCCACGCCCTACCACCCAGAATTTCCAGAAGGCCTCCACCCACCATTTCCTCCTCTGGGCTCATCCCTTTGCCCCAGGGGTCATTTCCACTCCTCTCCAACCAGTCCTAGAGGAAACGGATTGCAACTTTTTCTTCTTTCCATTTAGAACAATCCATATTTTAACTTACAAAGTCCTACCTGGTAGAAAAGTCCCTTTTCAATTAATGCAACTGGAATGAATAACCTGTCAACTGCTAGCAATCAGTTAAAGCATCAAATTAAGACCCTTCTCCTCTCCCTCCCTCCCCACCCCAAAAACAAACACACATATAAGTCACACCAGGGGCCAAAGCACAGTCAAAGGATCACTGCCACTGCTCCACAGACTCTGGCAGGCCGTGCACTTTATGGATACCTTCCCTCTCTGGGAGAGGAAGGACAGGCTCCCCTGGTCCCACAGCACAAAGGATCCAGGCAGGGGAAGATGCCGACAGGTTCGAGCCAGGAGATGCTGAAGCACAGTGGGCCTTGCACAAGCAAAGGTTGCCACACAGCCCTCGGCCTACCCACACACTCCCCACCCCTGCATCTGCTCTCCTCTCAGTGGCTCCGGTGCACGTTCACTCTGTGCGTCTGTCTGTCTTTGTGCTTTTATGTGTGCTCCGAAGGCGTGATTCAGAGTGGCCGGGCCAGCTGGTGGGAATGGTGGCTGCTCACCCCATTCTCTCCAACTGACAGGCATTTGTAGCTAAGCTGCCATTTGTCACTGCATCCATTTGCTGGTATCCTGGAGGCTGCTGTGTGGGTGGCAGGATGCGTCTGGCTGTGCGTGTCTACGTGTGCATTTTAAAGTATTTCATGTCAGTTGAGGGTTCTTGCTCTGCTTTTGACTGATTGCTGGATAAAGTAGTAGAAAAATATTTCAGGCTTCACCCTGGCACCTTCTGGGCAGCCCAAATGAACAACAGCACTCAGCCCGCCACATACCCCCTTCCGGCAGGGGCTGCAAGAAAGCCCACCCAGGACTGTCCTGACGCCCCACCACCACAACCCTGCTGCATCAGGCACAGCCACACTCCTCCACAATCATGTTGGGCACATCCCGCTTGACAATGTTGTACTCATCATCAAAGTAGAGCATGGACATGGTGCTCAGCTTAGTGGGGATGCAGCAGGAGTTCACCGTGCCAGGATTCAGGCCCCGCATGCGGTACTGGTTCACCACAGCCGTGTGAAAGGAAGAGGCTGAGCCTGGGACCCCAGCTAGGTAAGCTGGGCAGCTGCCCTCACAGTAGTTCCCATAGTAGCCGGTTGGTGCGATGATCCAGTCGTTCCAGCCGATGAGGCGGAAGTCAATGAAGAACTGTTGCCTGCAACAGAGATTGGTCCGGCCATCGCACTCCAGACCCCGCTTTCGAATGCGGTGCCTGCTGTCACCCAGCCGTGCCTGCACAACCACAAAGGGCCGGTGCGACTCCTCGCCAGGGTCCACGAACACGGGCACCACAGCCAGCTCCTGGCAGCTGTCGCACTGCACATCCAGGTTGAGTCGCCTCTCCCCGCGCTCAAACAAAGCCTGGATGGCCTCTGTGAGTGGGAATGTGTGCCAGCCACTGCGTTTGAGGTCCACCTTCTTCTCTACTACATTCCACCGATCTCCATGGCCCTGCTCCTGGTAGTACACCTTAACCCGAACCTTCCGCCGACTGCCCTTCTCCAGGACATAAGGCAGCAGCTTCAGGTAAAGCCACAAGCTGGCCTGTACCACAAACAGGTTCTGGTTGCCTTCATTGGAGATGAAAAAGTAGAGGCGGACACGGGAGGAGGCGAGGCCATCTGCAGAGAAGCGGGAGAGCAGGCCAAGTTAATTCAAGGAGAACACGAGGCAATGGGGGAAATAGACTCTGCTGCGTAATGCTGGAATGCTAGCTTGCCGCACAGCTGGAAGATGTTATTGACCAGAAATCCCGTTCCTAAGGCCAAGGCCTCTGACTGTAACCTGGGAGAGGCAAAGAAAATCATTTCCCACTGAGAATCGTGGACCAGGTTGGAGGTGAATGGTCCAGGCCTATAAAATCCTGCCTCACCTCTCCCAGTCCAGAGCTCCCTGGAGACAGGCTGTCAGGCCTCAAAGCTCCACAGAGGAATCTGTCAGGAGGCCAAGATCTTAACACGTTGTTATGGGTCTCAGTGAAATCTAAAAAGTAAAATTTGGGGTGGGTTGTTTCAGTAAAGTGTATGTGTGTGTGAGTGTGTGTGTTTTGTTAACTTAGGGCATTGCAAAATCAAGACGAGCCACCTACTGCCTCTTTCCAGTGTTTACCTAAGCATGATCTGATCCAACCCCCAGTGAGACCTCCACTGCAAACAAGCAAGCCCTGCTCATATTTCTGACACAGGAAAGTGTGCTTTGCAGACAGGAAAGTGTGCTTTGCAGACTGCAAAGTGCAGCCCTCGTTTCCAAGTAGTTAGTTCCAAGGGACAAGACATTTAGCCTTGAACTTGAGGTCCATTCCTTTGACAATAACTGGGATCCCCGTTAATAGCACATTCAAAATCTCCAAGGAAAGGGGGAACCAGCTTGTTAGTTTTCTCAATAACTCAGCTCAACAAGAAGAGACCTCATGCCAATGGATAGATGATTCCTCTCCCATTCTATTTTAGCAACTCTTCTCTCTGACAATCTACTTCTTTCATTTCTTTCTTTCTTTTCCCCCCAGGAAGAACAAATAACACAACTGTATGGCCATGGCTGGTTTAATCAAACCTCCTACCAGTGTCCCCCCACCCAGCCCCCTCCTCAGGCCTCGCTTGGTTCCTCTAATAACACTGACATCTGACTTTGAAATGGGGGAAAGTGCAGCCTTAAAAGCTGGTCTTGGACAAGCTGCCAGTGACCTGAATCTGTTATTTATAAGTCAAAGAGCTAGCTCTACGAAACAGACCAGAAATATAACAGCCCCCGCTGTCATTTAGTGCCACCAGGACCAAAAGGCCTCCTCGACCTTCCAGAATCACATTTCTACTCTGGGTTCCAAAGCACCTTTTAATCCAAGCTCTCTAATTGCATGTCCAGCTTCCCCACTAGATCGGACAGCTAAGACAGCAATGTGTTCCTTTCTAAGCACAGACCAGCGCGGATTGTCTCTGCTTTTCTCCACGCCTGGCCATGCAAAACTTTTCATCCCTTTTCATCCCTTTTCATCCCCAGGCAGCACCAAGCCAGGTCTGCCCGCAGCCTCAGAGTGTGGGGGGCATTTGCAGCCTTGGGCCACAACTGTTCCCCCCACCCTAGGCTCCCTACCTAACCCCCACTCTGACCATACCGGGGCTTCCCTCTTCCCAACCTACTCCGTAGTCCCCTCTGAGCAAACGGGGCTGAGCCCCACGCACAAAAGCCAGCCTGGCTCATTGAAGTCCTGAAAAGGACAGCGGAATTGAAAACGCAGCATTTTAATGTGGGCACATTTTTCTCCTTCTTTTAAAGTTTGGAAAGATTTTTTTCTATCTTGATTTTTAGATTTAGACAGTGGCACAAATGTGCAACCCAGGACCAGAGAAGAATCCAGAAAGGATTCCTACCCTTTGTTAACTACTAACTCTGTGGCTCTCAGGCAAGGGGGCTGCTTGAACTGCCAGGCAAGCTCAAAACCCTGGGGCTGTCCCCCAGCCGCATCTTTCTGTGCGTAAATGATGGGACCTGTTGAGAAGCTTGCCTTCCGCCGGATTCCAGTGCCCACACAATCGGAAGAGAGGTTGCCTAGCTCTCCCTGGTGAGGCTTCAGCAATCCTGGCAAGCCCACGCCGCCCGGTGATGGCAGCGGCCCTGAGGCCTCTCATGCAAGCGCGCGCGCGCGCACACACACACACACACACACACACACACACACACACACACACCACTCCTCCGGCCCACGAATATCAACAAGCACACACATCTCCAGCCACACTGCTAAGCCTACACTCCGATCGTGGGAAACAAAAACATTAAGCAATCACCAAGCAAGTGCCTGCGGAGCCAGGGCCGCACGCAATTGCCGGGACAGGGACGCCCACCCAGAGGCGTTGGGGTCGGATTACCGGGAGCAGGGGTACGGGGCAAGGCGCTTCGCGGCGAGAGTAGGGGGAGCAGCAAGAAATCTGCTCACCGGGTTAAGAAGACCGCAATCGGGACGCGGAGCGCACGAGGCCAGGGGCAAGTGGCTCGGCCAGCAATCCGGATCCGGGAGGGCGCGCTGGCTGCGGCGGCCAGAGAGGGCAAGGAGAAGAAGGTGTTTGGGGAGGGCTCGAGGGCCACGGCTAGCTGCCCGCACGACCGACCCACCTGTCTCAGCGAAGCTGATGATCTCGGAGATGCGCTCCTGGCCGTCGGCGCCCGGGCTGGCGTGGCCGTCGAGGTGCGGGATCTCCACACGGCCGTCCTCGCGCACCTTGCCCGCGTGCAGCTTTCGCAGAGCCGTGACCATGGCGGCCTTGGGCACAGCGTGGGTGATGTTGGGCCGGCCCCGCATCTGTAGGCGGCTCAAGATGTGCCGCTTCACCGCCTCCAGGAAGTCGCCGTCCACTCGGCCCAGCTCCTCTGGCCGCCGGAAGCCACCGCACGACGTGCAGGTGTCCAGCGAGTCGCCCGGAGCTCCGGGCGGCGGGGGCGGCGGCGGCGCGGCAGGGGATGGCGGGGGCGTGGGCGAGCCCCAGGCCTCCGGCCCCAGCCAGCCCGCTGCCAACAGCAAAAGGCAAGCGGCCCTCAGCGCCCGACCGGGCAGCCCGTCCATGGTGCGCCGCTGGCGACGAGGGCGCCCGCCGCGAGGGGAGCCGAGCGGAGCTCAGGGCCGGGCTCCGGGCTCCGGGCGCGCCGCCCCTCCCCGCCCCCGCCCGCCCGGGCCTCCGCCCGCCTGCCGGGAGGGCCGCCGCCGGCTCACGGGGGGAGGGGGCCGGCCGGGCTGCGGGGTTTCTGCTCCGCGGGGAAGGGGCGCCGAGGGCCGCGGGGACCGGAGAAGCGAGTGGGGCGAGGCGGGAGCTGGCGGGTCACTGCTGCCCGGGCGTCTCGGGGCGCCTGAGTATCTGCAGCCTTCTCCCCATCCTCTCCGCGTCGGGGCCCCGCAGTCCCGGCTCGCTCGGGTGAAGCGAAAGCGGAGGCAGCGGCGGCTCGGCTGCGGGGAGGGGACGGTGGCGAAGGGGCCGGTCGACGCAACTTGGCCGAGACGGAAGCGAAGGCGCTAAAGCCCCGGGAGTGCGGCCGGGCGCGGCTGGGCTCGGCGCTGCGGCGGGCTCTGCGGCGGGGCCCCGCACTCGCACCTGAGCGCCGCTTCGCACAGAGGAAGAGCCTCGGGCGGCCGCGAGGAGCGGGTCGTCCTCGCCGCGGGCGGCCGATCGGAGCGGGCGCAGTGCGGGGTGCGCGGATCGGCTCAGAGGCGACGCGGAACCCCCGGCCGCGGGCCCTGCAGTCCTCCCGGCGCGTCACACGGCAAAGTTGTTTCGAGGCTCGCGGGGCGCCGCATCCATCCGCCGGCGCGCGGGCCGGCCGCTGCGCGCCTCGCCGGGCCTCTGCTCCGCCCGCCTCCCCGTTTCGCCCTCCCTCTCCGTGCCTGCCTGCGCCGGCCGGTGGGCGCGGGGAGGGAAAGGCGAAGCCCTGGCAGTGGTCTTCTCGCCCCTGGCTCTTCTTCCTACTGCGGCGGCGGCGGTGTCGGTTCGAGCGCCGAAAAGTCTGGGAACGGTGCGGGCTCCTAGCTCGCTCTCCCACCGGCACCAGCCGCAGGGCCGGAAGAAAGCGGGCGGGTGGCGGCCGCGTCCCCGCGCCCGGCCGCACCACGGAGTGCAGAGCCCGCTGAGGAGGAGTCCTCTCTTTGCCCTCTCTTCTCTTACTCTCCTCGTTTTTTTTCTCCCAAGTGGGAAAAAGCCGCAAGATCTCCGTAAGTGCGCGCGCGTTGAGATAGACGTTGGCAAAAAAAAAAAAAAAGGTTGGCGGGCGGGGGCGGGGGGTCGGGTCTCGCCCTGGACATGCGGGAGGAGGGTGTCGGTGCCTCCCTGCTCCAGCTTCCCGGTGGGGGGGGGGGGCGGGCCGGGGTGGGCGGGATGGTGAGAAGAGGAGGAATCTGCTCAGGTCGGTGCTGCGGGTTCCCCCCCACCCCCACCCCCGCTTCCCTCCGATTTTTTTCCTTTCTGCCGGAGCGAGAAGGAGGGGCGAGCCGGCCCTCTCCCTTCCCCCCACCCTTGCAATGCCCGGCCACTTTTGCTGTCTCGAAACTTTCCCACCACGTGGGCACCCCGGACCCTCGCCCAGCTGGGCGGCGGGCGGCACCGACGGGCTCCGGGCCCAGGATCCCCGTGCTTGCCCCCGTCCCCACGGCCGCGCAGGCCCTGCCCTCGTCCCTACTGCCGCCCTCCCAGACCAGGAGAGGTAACTCTCGCCCTCCTGGCCGCCCCCGGCCCTCCCCAGTTGTTCCCTCTCCGGCCTGGCGAGGCGGGCGCGGAAGAGTGCGGGGAGCGATACGGCTTTGGGGACAAGGGCTGGCTTTGCTGGTAGTTGTCGCTCCCCGGCTGCAGTGCAGAGCCTCAGCCGAACGCCCCGGGCCGCGGCGCACTGGGAGAGGTGGAGGACCTGCCGGCTGGAGGGGCAGGGGAAGCGGCCTCTAGAGGCCTGGCTAGCCGCTGCTTTCGCAAGCTCTAAGCCTCGAGAAACTCCTCGACTGTGCGGGTGTCCAACACCACCGCCGCCACCACCTCACCCCTCCAACTGGCAAACCTTGGCCTCGGATAAACCCGACTTCCAGTTGAAGCTCAGCCATTGCCAGCTTTGTAGGAGTGACCTTGGGTACTCTTCCCTCTTCTAGTCTCCACCTTCTCATCTGTGAGAGAGGGGACAAGAACACCTATTTTACGCGGGCTGGTTGGGAACACCAAAGGAGGAAACGGGGCCAATCTCCTCGCAGAACCCAGTCAACTCTAATTTCAAGGCCATCGTTCTCATGCCACCAGACAAGGGGCGCTGTCATTGGAAACCGAACTCCCACCCGCGTGCAGACCCCCAAATGCCGTCCGTTCCTCTGTCCCTCCTTACTCCCCCACCCTGGGCGCGAAGCAGCACGGCAGGGTGCGGTACCCAGCCAGAAACACGGCCCTGCCCTCTCCCCTCCCTTGTCCAGATCCTCCACCCACCGCGCCCCGTAACAAGCGAGACCTGAAGGCCAAATCTGGATGGGAGGTCATTCGGGCTTTTCTAGGATATTGGACAACCCAGGACCACCAGAGGCAAACTGTAGCCTCCAGTTCAGGATTTCTACCCCGCACCCCAACCCCCATCGCGAGCTTCTCAGGCTAGCCTTGCTGCTGTGGAGCTCAGCCCGCACCGCAGACCCGCAAATCTGGAGGCCGAGCGCCCCCTCCCTCCCAATCAGAGGAACCGACCGAAGATGCCAGGTGGTTCCCGAGGCGAAAAATGGGGCTACAGCCTGGGTTCTACAACCGGGAAGCCGAAAGAAGCAGAGGCCGTGGAGGGTCCTTGGGATGGCAGCCCTTCTGCCTCCTTAGGGCCTGTCCAGAGCCCGGCTCTGCCCCTCCCAAACAGCACTCTGTGCCCTCGGGTTTCACCCCCTGCCCTGTCCCAGAGCCTGTGATTCCTGGGCAGGAAGGAGGTGCTCCAGCCTCCTGGGGGAAGCCTGGGCCAGCACCTTCTGCCCAGTGGCCCTGAGCTAGGCTGGCCCCAGCTTTGTGGTTTTGCCTGCGTCTTCCACCAGGCTCACAGGCTGTGGTCCTCTGCCTTTTCCCATCACCACAGCCATCAGCTACTTGGCAAATTCTCAGTCTTAAAGTCTCAGCCCAATCAATATCTCCTCCTCGGTGAAACCTGCCATGGCCTTCTTGTGCCCTGAATAATTATTTGTCAGATTAGGCCCCTCAGCCCAGGGCCTAGCTGTTATCTCCCTTGTGCATCTCCTGCATGGGGCCTCAGGCTCATGGAGGACAGCAACCTGGCCTTGTGGGCCCTGTCTGAGGCCAGACCTGGCAGATGATCCAGGGGACTATTGAACAAATGTTTCATTGGTTGATTGATTAAACGAATAGACGAGAGAAGTCAGTAAGCCAGTGAAAGATTTAACACCCTTCACTCCCCAGCACAAGCCCTCCCAGCAGTCTTCCTTGCCTGCCTGGTTACAACACTTCCTACTGTGAGTCCCACCTGGGCTGGACAGGGCTGGGGGGAGGGAAAATGGCTACTCGCCTTTGGGGGCATCCTATCCATTGACCTGGCACTGGGAGAGGCAAAAGCCACTGCATCCTTGCTGGTAAGAGGAGGGAAGAAGAGGTTGAGAGGAGGGTCCACATTTTGCTCCCCTGGTGGAGGAGCTGTCAGCCTTGCTGCTGGTCATCTGCTGGGAGGGAACTGGGTCAAGCGGTAGTCAGAAACCATCTGCTCAAGAAGCTGAGATTATCCGCCCTCTGCTGATCCCCCAGCCCGTGGGAGCTAAGGGTGTAAATTGAGTTCTTCCAGGTCACCTTGTGCTTTGGTGTGGGGAGCCCCCAGCCCCTACTGAGGGGCAAGGACCTGTTCCTGTTGCTTCGGAGCTTCATTTAGCACTGTGCTCAGTTCTTGTACTGGCAACCTCGGCCTTCGGTATCAGGCAGGGATGTGACTGCACCTGTCCATTTTGAATACAATAATGCACATCCACGTTGTAGCCAACGCCCTGCAAATGGGCTGCAGGGCCAGGCCACGCCCCCCACACACACACAAACACACACAAGGCTAACTTCCTGCTGCCATCAAGGAATGTGGGCCCGGTCGGGAAGGCAGGAAGAATCATGACCACATTGTGGGTATGGACATGCAGACCGTGGAGAAGGCTTCTTTGGGGACCTCAGGGCACTTGCTCTCTAAAGTTTTTTCTGCATAACCCACAGATAGGTGTCAACTTGAGGATGATGAAAACATCCAGTGACCAAGCAAACCATAAAAATGAGTTTGAGGGCTCATTTGCTAAAAGAATTGAGAACTCAGGTACAGTACCTGGCCTCTGCAGAGTGTGAGGGGAAGAGAAGTCTTTCACTTCAGTGGGCGCCGACAGCCTGCTTGGTAGTTGGTTGGGATCAAGGACCCGATGTTCACTTTTGCAGTACTGGCCCAGAGACTGCTGCTGCCCATCACCGGCACCCATCATGCTTCTCCAGAACAGCTGTCTAAACGGAAGGAGCCTTGTACCAGACCAGATGAGAGGTCCTACCCACCCAGCAGCCCAAGGAATGAGGGAGGGGCAAGCCTGGAGCCAGGTGTGAACCGGGATCCAGCTGGAGGGGTCCCAAACGGCAAGGGGCCAAGATGACTCTTGTAGAAGTCCAGGCACCAAAGCAGAGCTCCTTCAGGATGCCCCAAGGCATGTCTTGGAGGTCACAGAGGCAAGTCCTGGAAGAGAGAGTAGGCACGGAAGGGCTATTTTGATAAGAAAGCCCCACATGTCCCACTACACTGCATCTGCCAGGAGTCTCAGCAGAGGCAGAAGATTTGAGCTGAGATTTAAAACATGAGGAGGCATTTTCCAGATGGACAAGAGAGGGAATTTCACCAGAGAGGAGAACACATGGTGAGAATATGGTCTAGGTGAGGAATAAGGGCAAGTCCAGTGCAGCTAGGCTGGGAGGGGCCTTGTCAGGCCAGAAGGGGTAAGGAGGGCATGTGACTCCTTGCAGGAGTGTTCTAGGAGCATATTGGCAGCATCGTAGCAGCTGAGAGACCCAGCCCATTGAGGAAGACCTGAGGGCCAGAGATAAGGTAGTAGCAGTGAGGACCAC